TCACATCTATTTTAATTGAGTACCCACTCCCACTCTTTCAAATGAGTAACAGTGACAACGGACATCATCTCAGACTGAGTGATCTACATTGTTATCACTTTTGCAATCATTGGGTATCAGATATTTAACAGTTGTAACATACTTATGTGCAGAATAATAAGGTAATTTATGGGTTTTCTACACAATGATTACAAGGGGAAAACATTCTGACCTGATTGATTTGAAAATAGCTCCCATCATCTTCAATTCGGATCTTGGCTGCTGTTTTTCCAGGTTTCTTTTCAACTTTTATTGGCTTTACACAATCCTAAAACAGAAATAAAGTCAAAAATGAAGGAGAGGAACCTTTCAATATGAAAGAGGCAGGAGAGGAAAAGACGGATTGAAACTGGACAGAGTGTAAACAAAGATCAGTTCCAGAGTGGAAACTTATCATCTCTGGTTTAAGCTGCATTGGATTCTTTGTTTAATGTGCAATCTTACAATTCCTGTAACCACCAAGGAGACAAGCAAAAAATCAAACATACAAAATCTGCATACCCCATTTTTACAGAATGAACACCTTTCCAACATCATAACCAAAACTATAGAACAATTTTGCTGCCAGTGTGAAACACTCAGATTTAAAGAAGTCTTGCTCAAAATAGATGACTGAGAAGTTCTGTCCTTTCCAGAATCCCGAAGGGCGATCAGGAATTCTTCATTGTGAGTTTTAGCAGACAGGAGGCGTGGTCATTACATTCAACATGTGGCTATTGCCAATGAAATTTCATTTGATGTTGAGGGCAAGCAGATGACTTTATATGGACTGTTTCCGGTTTAGTGTGTTAGAGTTCAGTGACTGAAGTCTTGAGGGTGTTTTTATACTTTGCAAGAGTTGCATTGTTTGTGCACCCACACCTCCCTTGTCTAGAAGTCTGACTAGCAGCCTTGCCAGAATTCATCCTGACCTTAAATCATCCTCACTTTACCAAAATCTTTTTTTCCCCCCCATCTTGACTACTGTAAATCCTGCTTCTAAAAATCTCTGCTCTGAATTTAGGGGGGTTCAGAATGCTCCCATTGCAGGGAGGACAAAATCACTCTGATGCCCCAGTTATGCTCACTGAATCTAAATCAATCAAACAAACCTATCCATAGACTTACTCCCCACTTCTAGCCCCATGGTCCTATGTCCTCTCCTCACGTGTGCTGCTCTGTTAGCAACTCTCTCCAGTCTTGCTTTCCTATTTGCTCTGATTTACAAATGACAGCAAAGCTCACCTCTGTTCCTGCCACTTTCCATTCCCTCCATACTGCAACTACTTTGTGTCGGATGCTGACTGATGTCTTTTCTGCTCTTCTATATCAGCTCTCCTTTTATCGGTTCCATCTGTTTGGAGGATACTATTTACAAAATGATATTCTATTGTAGTCCATAATTTACACTTCAAGGGTAATATTACAGGAGCCCTTGTAAGAATTAAAAAAAACCCCAAGACCTTGGAAGCTTTTATCTCAGTTTGTTTTCCAGCTGTCCTAGAAGTGCAGAAGCAGCTTTTTCAACATGAGAATGTTTCCACTGGCTGTGTGGTGGTGTTACAAACTGTTACTCAGCCTCCGTGCTCTATTCCAGAGGTGGCTGCACTTCAGTAGTAAAGGAAACAATCCCTTTTCTGGACGTGTTAGAGGAGAAATGTAATAACAACCATGCACAGCAATAGCGCCTTCCACCCTCGGCGCTCAGAGCAGAAAAGGAGAGACACAGGGGCATCCACAGCCCATTGAAACAGAAACCTTATTTCAAATCTACCAGAAAACAACCTATGTGAGGACAACCATGAGCAGTCAGCATGGGCCCCACCTCTTGGGAGTGGAGTTGAAGGGCAGGGCAAGGCAAGGCAAAGACCCAGTGGCCACCAAGCTGGGGAAGCCCCTAGAACTCCCCCCACCTGGGGATACCCAGCCCAGGGGACCCTGGCCTGGGCTGGGAGCAGGAACAGAGGCACTCCCCCGAGGGATCTACCCAAACATTCACCTGACAGGAGCAGGGACTGAGGGGACAACACCATTCACCCCCCTCCACTCCCACACTCTGCAGAGCCCCCCCCCCCGACCTACACCTCCCCCTGCACGGGCCCCTGAATAACCCCCCCTTGCCAGACAAACCTGCCATCACCCACAGCCCCACAGCGACCCCCCCTTCCCAGCTCCCAGGGAGCCCCAATTCCCTATTATCCCCCCGGCCCCCAGGGGGACCCCCCAGTCAACCCCCATCCCGGCCCCCAGGGGGACCCCCCAGTCATCTAGGCAACTCCTCATTCCCAGGGGACCCCCAATCCCCTATTATCCTCCCAACCCCCAGGGGGACCCCCCCAGTCAACCCCCACCCCGGCCCCCAGGGGGACCCCCCAGTCATCTAGGCAACTCCCCATTCAGGGGGACCCCCAATCCCCTATTATCCCCCATCCCCCGTGGGGGATCCCCAATGCCCTAGGCAACCCCCCAATCCGCTATTACCATCCCCCCCGGCCCCAGTGGGGGACCCCCAATCCCTCATCCCCGGGAGGACCCCTCCAACCCCGGCCGGGACCCCAAATCCCCTGGGCAACCCCTATCCCCAGCCCCCGGGGGGGACCCCTCAACGGCCCCGCCCCCCTCCAGGCACCCCCGTGCCGTGCGGAGCCTCCCCCGCCCTCGCGCCCCTTGGCAGGCAGCCAACCAGCGCGCTCCCCACCTGCGAGGGCCCGATATAATCATCCAGGTCAGCCAGCTGCAGCACCCCACTGAAGGGAGACGCCATTCCGGCCACGCTGCCGGAAAGCACGCAGCGACAGCGTGAGGGATAACGGTGAAAAGCCACACTGCCGTAAAAGCCGTTCTCACGCTGCCGGAAACCGCGGCGGACGGAAGCCTCAATAGCCCAAAAGGAGTAGATTTGCGCATGCGTCGGAGTCTCAAGTCACGCCTTAAAAAAGGTAGTGCGCGTGCGCGCGCCGCTTCCCTGCTAGCTGTCTGATTCTGCAAGCCTGGGTGGAGGGGTGCAGCATCCGCTCGGGCTGGGTGGGGGATGGGTAGGCTAGTAGCGAGGCGGTGGCCGGAGTGGGGTATTTAACCCCTGCTTCGCCAGGGCTATTTAGGAGTGTTGGGGTGGTGCAACCAGGGTGACCGGACAGCAAGTGTGAACAATCGGGATGGGGGTGGGGGGTAATTGGAGCCTATATAAGAAAAAGACCCAAAAAGCGGGACTGTCCCTATAAAGTCAGGACATCTGGTCACCCGATGAGCAGCCTGCAGGCAGCCCGGGGCATGCGCTTTCTCCTGCTGCTGCCTGCGGGGCATGGGGGGCACCCATCTGTTTGATGGCACGTCACACCTTTGTTGAGTTAGAGGCTGCAGGACAGAGCTGATCGCCTAGCTACACACAGAGACCAAACACAGGCCGCCAAGCAACCCCTTACATTGTAAAAAAGTGGCAGCGTGCCAGGGGTTTGCCCCTGTTGTTTGGAGCATTTTTATTTAGCTGATGTTCTTGCCCCACCCCTGCTGTGCTAGAAAGTTTTCCCTCAAAATCGCTGGGACGAAAACAAAAGTTTGGATATCCCTATGCTCCATCCCGAGGGAATGCTGCTCTGCAGATGGAACACTTCATGCTAGATAAACACGGGTCGCTACATTTGCCACTGAAATGTTTCATGGGCATAAAATGGACGATGGAGCCAATTCTGCGAGTGTTCCATGTGTGGGTGGGGCCTCCTATAAATCTTAGCATTTATGACATCTTACGTGTTCAAAGCGCTGTACAAAAAATAATTCCCACCGTGTCCCCATGAAGTAGGGATTATTTCCATTATGGGGAAAGCAAGGCACAGAAAGGTGAAATAACTTCCTAAGGCAACACAATGAGTCAGTAGCAGCACCAGGTGAAACAACTTCCCAAGGCCACACATTGAGTCCGTGGTAGAACCAGGTTTAGAACGTGGATCTTTTTGACTAGAAGACCTTCAAACCATACTGTTTTAAGCCTTGCGTTTAGAAAGACAGATGGACCTAGCATGATAGATAATGATAGAGAACTCATATTTGTTCAGATGGTCCTCTATTTGCATTGACTTGACAATTACTTTTTTAAAAAGTAATGGTTGTGAAAATGCTTGATAAAAGGTGCTTAAATATTAGTGATAAACACAGATGGCTGAAAAATAACATGTATTACTAATGGTCACTAGCGTGCGAAGAATAACAACACTTAATTATAATTATTTAGGACCTGATTCTGAAAACACTGTTGTGGGTAGTGCTTATAACTGTCAATAGCCCTAATGAAGTTTGCAGGATTAGGCATACATTTTGCATTTATTTAAGCATTTTACCAACAGCCGTGCTGACTGATGATGGTAGGGCACTGGTTCTCAAACTTTAACAACCTGTGAACCGCTTTCACTAAAATGTCAAATCTCGCGACCCCCCTCCTAAAAATGAATATTTCCAGGGATTTTCTCCTTTACCTGAGTATAAATTATAAAAGCTGTGATCTTGGAAATATAACATTTGTTTTTATGACATGCTTATTACACACTTTTATTAATTATTATTTATCATTACAGTATTTTCATTACATTATGAAAACAGCAACAAGATCTCAGTTTTGTAGCTTGTATCACTTTGAATAAGCCTGTTATAGGACCAGGCTCCTATGTTTCATCAAAGAGTATCAGATGTGAAACAGCAGGAAGGGATTTAAGAAGCCAATTCAGAGTTCCTCCTACACAAGCATTCAGGTCTTGAGCAGTCCAGGCAAACAACGCACGTTACAACAAAGCTTAAACTTGTTCTTCATAATAATTTTAAAAACAATCCTAGCTGCCTACTTCATTTTAAAAACAGCAAAAAATATCCACCTCCCTTTCCATTTCTTATAAGGAGTCTTGAAGTTTAAAACTCAGTGTGATAGAGATGCTTTGATCTGCTTAGTTCTTGGAAGTCCAGGGGCTCCGGGCTGCTGGCCCCATGCTGCCCGGAGTCCCTAGGGACAGCTCTGTCTGCCATTGGGGAATTTTTCCCCGAGAACCCCCTGTAAAATTTCACAAACCCCAGTTTGGGAACCACTGTGGTAGGATAATGCAATATTGTATTACCAAGCAGAAATTAAATGCTCCACTTTTTTATATTTTGTTCATTTAAGAACACTGGAACATATATAAATTGAATGTAACCATGCCAATTAGATCAATCATTATAATTCCCCCCTCCCTCCCCCAAGAAGATTACTATTTAATATTTGGCAAATACTGAATGGCCTATAAGAAAGCAGTTAACACCAAGGGGAAGAGCATACAATAGAAAAGCTGGAACATGTGGTCTTTTGCATATGTCGTTGCTCTTCCGGGTATGTAAGGTTCTGAAAGAAAAATTTAAAAAATCGTATCAGTTCTGCTGCATCTCTGCAGGCAATAAATCCCTTCAATTCAAGGCTTTAATATAACTGCCCTACCTCCTAATGTGTGTTCCATAATCACCATTTGAAAAACATTCTAATAGTGAGATCTACTGAGATGTAAAATAGATTTCCAAGGAAGGGGGTGAAAACCATCTGTTGAGTCATTTTAAAACTAGACCTGCAAACCACTGGAGAATATGGTATGGGACTGTGTGATAGACTAAATATGATCTAATGGGGCTTTTCAATCTCTGATTCCTACAATATTTTCAACAAACTAATATTTAAAGCCCTGATCCTACAATGAACAGGCCCCATTGCCAGATCAGGACCTAACATCTCTCATATCATAACCTAGTACTCTGCCCCACAAACTGAACTGGATGTATGAGAGAATCTGCCTTCGGTGAATTAATCTTAAATGTTTCCCCGTGTGTGTTGTGTCCCAATTAAGGGTAATCTTAGATTTTATACAGTGAAAGTTAAGCCTGTGATATGCATCTGCATCACAGGTGCACTTTTATTTATCAGCATTAGGCACAGCTTAGTGAATAGCTTTTGGAGCCATATATTTCACCAGTACCCTTGGCTCTTTTGTTGTGAATTCACTTACCTGATGGAATATCTATAAAACCGTTAGGTGGCTTGTCTGGGAGTCCTGCTACAAGAAGGAGTCCTAAAGAATTCACCTCTGATTGGTTGCGTGCCTGGGTCCAAGATTTCACCACAGGGTCATCCGCTAAATTGTTCAGCTCTGGGAGATTAGCGCCTAGCAAATCTTTCAGATTTTGAGCGCTTAATTTCTATAGCCGAAAAGAAATAAAAATAGGTACATTCATGTGAAATAATTCCAAGCTGCTTACAGAAAAGTTACATAATGGCAGACTGACAACATCCGCTAAGGTTTCTTGCTCTGCTCTGCCAATGTCCCTCTGCCCAACCTAGTTCTGGGCTTCCTACCTACAGATCTGCTAATGCATCTCACTTCTTCCCTACAATACCCCTTGCTACTCCAGTGCGCCTCACAACCAAAACACCTGCAGCACCCCCTGTGTGGGAGACTACTCTGACTTAGGCCAGGTCTACACTACCCCCCTAATTCGAACTAAGGTACGCAACTTCAGCTACGTGAATAACGTAGCTGAAGTTCGAAGTACCTTAGTTCGAACTTACCTTGGTCCACACTCGGCAGGCAGGCTCCCCCGTCGACTCCGCGGTACTCCTCTCGCCGAGCTGGAGTACCGCAGTCGACGGCGAGCACTTCCGGGTTCGACTTATCGCGTCCAGACTAGACGCGATAAGTCGAACACAGAAGTTCGATTGCCAGCCGCCGAACTAGCGGGTAAGTGTAGCCAAGGCCTTAGTCTGTTTTGTCCTTCACTCCTGTGCCACCACGCTGCTCTGTCAATGCACCAAAATCTCGACCCTTCGTTGAGCTGAGTTATGTAGTGGGTTAATTAAACCATCAGGATGCCTTGACTGATTTTTGACTACAGCAATTTTTCATTGTTTCTGCACTTAAATGCAAAACTGATCAGATAATCTGTTGGTTTAAAATTTAAAACCAAACGAAGGTACCTACAGCTCAAGGCAGCTAACAGGTTTAGATAAGAGATCTGACTGGGGTTCTTGTCTAATCCTCTGGTGATGGCAATGTGCACAGTATATCCAGATAAGCAAAAAGATAGCTGACTGCAAAATGTCAGTATGCAAGGGGTTCATGCTACCCTACCAGGGCCGGCTCCAGGGTTTTTGCCGCCCTAAGTGGCAGGAGGAAAAAAAAAAAAGCCGCGATCGGCGGCAGCTCCACCGCGCCGCTTTCTTCTTCTTCGGCGGCAAGTCATTCCCTCTGAGAGGGACCGAGGGACCCGCCGCCGAATTGCCGCCAAAGAGCCCGACTTGCCGCCCCAAGCACCTGCTTGGAGCCAGCCCTGTACCCTAGGAGGCTTAGAGAAGGATGATGAGAATGACTGAGGGCATAAAAACTCCCCCTTTCTTCTGGAGAGAGAAAAGGAAATACTTTTTCATACACTGTGTAATTAGACAGCGGAGCTCATTGCCCCAGAATGTCCTTGAGGCCAAGAAATGAGCAAGATTTAAAAAGGGGTTGGACATTAGTATAGCTAAGAATATCCAGAACTGTCATTAATGAGAACAACATTTTGGAAGGGATGTTAAACTTCATGCTTCAGGGCTTAACTCTGACTATTAGAGAGCAGGGCGAGACCTAACGTCGGGGCAGGCTACCCCACCTCTTCCTGCTATGGAGTTCGTACATCTTCCTCTGAAACATCTGGTGCTGACCCCTGTTGGAGACAGGACACTGGGCTAGATGGACCTTGGGTCTGATCCAGACTGGCATTTGCTATGTAGCCACATCTGACAATGGGGCCTACTTAGTCCCCAGTCCTGAAATCTAGGAAAGATTCTCATTTCAATCACTGTCTTTCTGTTGCAGTCAATGGGAGTCTTGCCTAAAAACTGCAGGATCAGGAGTGACATTTTTGTTCTCCCAGGAAAAAGCACTGGCAGAGCAGGCAGTGCTGATGGATTAATTGCTATTCACAATGGAAAACGCCACCCACCTGGACTTCATCTGGGTTGAGGGCTGTAAATGTGGCTACATCCATGACAGGATAACCAGAAGCAAATTTGATCAGATCCTTGGTTGGGGCTCCGCCTTTAAAGAAGAAAAGCAGAAGCTGTGTCTAGCTGCCAAGATCCCACAAAACCTTCCCATCACATTTTGTGTCGTTGAACCATAGAGTCATATAGTTTCAGGCCTGACAGGCCCACCAGGTCATCTAGGCTTGCCCCTGTATATTACAGGCAAATAAACAACACTCAGCCACTTCTGAACGGGCACTTAGAAACCCATTTTCCCACACAAGTGCCTAGTTTGCACACATCACCATGGTGAATGGACACAGGCCTACGTGTTCCAAACTCCCACAGTCACTCTGAAAATTTGACCCGTCTCCTAAGAAAATGTGAGGCTACGAGGGTGACCAGATGTCCCGATTTTATATATTTGATGCTTTTTCTTGTATAGGCTCCTATTACCCTCCACTCTCTGTCCCGATTTTTCATACTTGCTGTCTGGTCACCCTAGAGGCGACATATTCTCTATATTTCCTGTCGGATGCAATTGCCTGTGATGATGATAGTAGTCAGTCACATTGCTGACTGCAATTCTTAATCACATTTTTTTTCCAGAGGCGCAGGTGATAGGAGGTGAGGGAGTGGTTCCTTTCAGAGCCAACAAGTATTCCTCCTCCAGCTTCTGTTTATTCCCCCCTCTGCAAGTGGTCCTTATGTGGTAAGGCCTGACCTATCTCATCCCTCCCCTAAATGCTGCTCTCAAGGTGGCTGAAGAGGTCACCGTAGTGGCTAGACTCTCCTTCCTTCTCCCCCAGGGGACAGCTACCCTGCAAAGAAACACCTGTGGTGCTGAGCCTCAGAGCCCAGGTCAGCTGACAGAGACTCGCAGGACTTGGGCTGTGGGGCTATAAACAGCAGTGTAGACGCTTTGGTGTGGGCTGGAGCCTGGACTCTGAAACCCAGCAAGGGGAGAGGGTCTCGAGCCCGGTCTGCAGCCTGAGTGGGAACGTCTCTGCTGCTATGTTTAGCCCTCCAGAGCCCAGCGAACTGGAGTCAATTGCCCCGGGCTCTGAGACTCAGCGCTATGGGTTTTTCCTTGCTATGTAGACGTGCCCGCACTGCCCCAACTGGCAAAGGCCCGAGCTGGAGTCTCTCAGCCCCCTAACAGGGCACACTGAGCAACTGCCAACCTGCCTTTTTCAGCCCTGCCAGCAGCAACAGTGGAACTCACCAATGGCAGGCTTCAGCAGCTGGTAGTAGGCATCTGGAGAGCTCGGGTTCTCCTCGTAAGCAGCTCTCAGCTGGCTATAGAAGAGATTCTTCTGGCGCTGAGAACACAGCGAGGTATTCATGGGCCTGCTGGTCTCTCTGGAGAGGAAGTTTTTAGAGATGTATCTTTTGTATTTGTCAACGGTTTGAGCAACCAGCATGTGCATGGCTGGGTGAAATACACCCCGACAAAACCAAAACCCCAGGAGAGGAAGGCTGGCCCCGTGGTTAGGGCGCTAACCTGCATTTAGGAGGCCCAGGTTTAATTCCCAGCTTTGCCACAGACACCTTGTATGACCTTGGGCAAGTCACTCAGACTGTCGGTGCCCCTTCACAATGGGGAGAACAGTATTGCCCTGCCTCGCAGGGCTGGTGTAATGGCACAGCAGAAGAAACTGGGGTCCTAGATAGGAAAGAGGCTGCATAATGCCCTGCCTTTCTCCCTCTCCCCAAACAGCTGCTGGTGAGCCCACCCTGGGGCTTGTGACTGTCAGAAAGAGACTAGCAGAATTTGTACAACATCAACGAATCCTTCTGAGCTCTCGCCCAGTCCGAGCTACAGAGAAGCAAGTCCTAAGTGTAGATTTCTTGATCTGCTATTAAAAGAAGAAAGAAAGAAACAGAACCCACTTACCCCGAATGTGTCTAGTGCTTAAAAGAGTCACAAAGGTACCTGACGGCCTCACTGCTGATGGCTTTTATCTGAGTATCTTCCAAAGCACAGATGTGTGGAGCTAGCATTGTGAGCATTGTTCCGTCTAACTGATTGCCATTAGCTTCTAGATGCCGAGTGACCAGAGACGTAACCTGCAGGTATGACCGTTAAGGTAAACCGATGAGTGTTTAAAAAAGTACGTTAATTTAAAAATTGCAGTTGCTGACACCCATTCAAGTAATTTAAAATAATGTTCCTCTCTATCACCTGACCCATTATCGCATCAAAATATTTCTTTTGTACTAAGTGCTAAATCAACAAGACATTTTAAGACAAAGAAAAGTCTGCTTGGGGTCCCAAGTTTATTCCCACAATTCTGCTTTTCTACCAGTATTTTAAATCCCCTTTTCCCAGATTTTTATAGGTGCCTCTTGACCTCCATTTATACTCACTGCTACCATCACATTCCAATATAGCGGATTCCACATATTTATCACCCTATGGTTGAAAGATCCGTGTCTGAGATCCATGGTGGCTTTTAATTTCTGAATGTTCTGATTAAAGCCTCCATTTAAAACAGGAGAGTGTACTTTTCTTTATCAACTTTATTGGTATCTGTTCATACTTTTGAAACATTCCCTTTTGTGGCCTCTTCTTTTCCAATCAGAATAAGACTGTTTCCTTTAACCTAACGTTCAAGAATCTTGGAGACCTCATGTCATTTTGGTTTTCCTACATTGCACTATTTCTAATCTAATAACCTCCCTAGCTCTGCAAACAGTTCCCCAGATAGGGCCAGACAAGTAACAGGATCACTGTTTCCAAGGCAATAACAATCTCTGTGTCCAGTACTGCACACAATATACTGTGTGTGTGTGTGTGTGTGTGTGTGTGTGTGTGTGTGTGTGTGTGTGTGTGTTGTTTGACATTATTT